TTTTCAATAGTCAGTAATATATATGTCATTGATTTACCTAAAACACTACATTACATTTAAGAATATTATTGTTTTACAAAACATAGCGTGTCATATTAATATAAAATTTTTCGACGCTCGTTATCCTTCTTTACTTTACTTTGGTACAGTTTATTTGTCAATTTTATCAAATTGTCATCACCTTTTCTAAAAACCATCACAGACCGTATAAAAATTAACTTTTATAACGCCTACCACAATTATTTCTACCCTTTATCAGAGTGTAAGTCCCTGTATATTATCATATCATGTGTGACAGAAAAAATTTTTTTTAAATATGTATTAAAAAATAGATTTTAAATAAAGAAAGACAAAATCTTTCGCTTATCTCAGTTATTTTTTTTTCCTGGTTATTCAGTTAGCATCACCCTTTATCAGAGTGTAAGTCCCTGTATATTATCATATCATGTGTGACAGAATAAATTTTTTTTTAAATATGTATTAAAAAATAGATTTTAAATAAAGAAAGAAGAAAAATATCTACTTCATTAATTTAAATATATCTGTATTTGTAGTTGTTCAAAATCTTTCGCTTATCTCAGTTATTTTTTTTTCCTGGTTATTCAGTTAGCATCAATTACTGTGGAACTCTGCATTTGTTGTTGATTTTTGGAATCTCCGAAACTTATATGATTGATTAATCGCATTATGTCTTCATTTGCCATCTAAATACAGCTTAACTCAAAAAAATTTTTTAAATTATATTTAATTAAATTATTATTTTGAATACTTCTATATTTAAATTAAAAAATAATAGTTATTTTTTAAATTTTAATATATGTCTAATTTTTATATTTTAAATTAAGTTTAGTTCTATATTTAAAGATTATATTGAATTAATCTAATATATTCCTTTCTTTTTTTTAATGAATATTTTAAACAATATTTTTATTTTTAAATTTTAAACAAATTCGTAATTATAGGGGATACCACCGCATCATATTTTTTACACACAAACCATTCACTTATAAACGTGTTACAATTAAATACGTTCAATATCATACAAATAATAAATAAAAGTTCAAATTCCGTTGTCGACTTGCATATATGAAAAATCTTCAAAGGTATAAAGCCATTCAAGTCTAACACTGGTTTTAATTGAGTAATATTTCTTTATTCAATTGATCCAAACGTTTCGATCCCTGTATCGGATCCTTTTCAATGGTCAGTAATACATATGTCATTGATTTACCTAAAATACTACATTACATTTAAGAATAAAGGACTGTAACGTCCGCCGAAATTTGCGCGCAGGCGAACGTCACTCTTAACGACGCCAGACGCGTTGCCGTGGCAACGCGATTAAAATTGACTAGCAATTTTTAACTATTTTTTGATGCTTATTCGCATCTTCTAAACGATCTTAATAATGATGAATAACATATTAAAAACTGTAAATAATTAATTCTTATTGCGAAAAATATTACCTCGGCCGGGAGTCGAACCCGGATCTCTTGCAATCCGTGCGAGCGTCCTGAGCCTTTAGACTACCGAGGCCTTAGTAATATTCTTCGCAATAATTGGCATATAATCTAAAGTAATCGATAAACTTATTTCATTTAAATAATATAATATATTATAGGACCGTACATGTGATAACACAAACTATAGAAATCAAAGCCTTTACACGGTCTAGCTGGATCTTAATGCTTGTATGATTCTTATGTGAATTTATATACTACGTATGTAGTCCCACAGAAACGCGCGCCGAAAAATTTCCGGTCTTGAAACGCTAACTCTACTAAACTACCGCAGTAATATCACGAGTTAAAATTGACTAGCAATTTTTAACTATTTTTTGATGCTTATTCGCATCTTCTAAACGATCTTAATAATGATGAATAACATATTAAAAACAAGCATATTAAAACACACATATTAAAACAAGCATTAAGATCCAGCTAGACCGTGTAAAGGCTTTGATTTCTATAGTTTGTGTTATCACATGTACGGTCCTATAATATATTATATTATTTATTTACGTCGCCTAAAGAGACGTTGTTCCTTCATATGCCAATTATTGCGAAGAATATTACTAAGGCCTCGGTAGTCTAAAGGCTCAGGACGCTCGCACGGATTGCAAGAGATCCGGGTTCGACTCCCGGCCGAGGTAATATTTTTCGCAATAAGAATTAATTATTTACAGTTTTTAATATGTTATTCATCATTATTAAGATCGTTTAGAAGATGCGAATAAGCATCAAAAAATAGTTAAAAATTGCTAGTCAATTTTAACTCGTGATATTACTGCGGTAGTTTAGTAGAGTTAGCGTTTCAAGACCGGAAATTTTTCGGCGCGCGTTTCTGTGGGACTACATACGTAGTATATAAATTCACATAAGAATCATACAAGCATTAAGATCCAGCTAGACCGTGTAAAGGCTTTGATTTCTATAGTTTATTTCATTTAAATTCTGTAATTGCAACTGCAAATTTGACTGCGCCGATTCAGAAAGCAGCTAATACTGCGCTTATGATCGAGAATACGTAGCTGAATCGCATCCGCAAGTGCACCAAAAGCTTCTAACAAAACCTGTGGAATCCGTTAGAAGCTTCGCGATACAAATAACGCACAAACGCTCTATACTCAAACTCTATGTATAAAAAAAGAGAAAACATCATTCGGCGGAATATAACG